TTTTATGGATAACATTACTATTTCTTGCTCGTATGGTAATGCATAATTATAATATTTTGAAGTGTTTTTGTTACTACTTGGATAAGTTATGTTGCAGTTGTGTTCTTTTTTTATTATTATCTAGTGCTAGGCAGTTAGCGCTGTGTTGTTAGCTGTGAAAGACCTCTGTGCAGACTTATTTGACCACCGGCGATCGCAGACGGAAGTTCAAAGTTTGCTGCTCGTTTATATCGCCCAATTTTCAAAACGCGATCAAAAGTCCAAATCTCCCTGACTCGTCATCATCTCCATCTTCAAGTGACTCAGAATAAGGACGCACCTTGACGTAGGCCCACTACCACAGTCTCACAGTGAGCCAAACATGTCTGTGCTATAAGAATCCTGTGTAGTTTTAATAAAGAATTTGTTTAATTGCAATTTGGTGTCCATTGAATGCTTAATAAATATATATAAAAGTATTGTAAATGCATATACAATCGTAGTCACTTCATATCGTATGTTAAATCATTGTTTTAATGTATGGCCTTGGTGCCCTGGCTTTTGGCCTTTGTGCCCTTAAAAAATTGACAACTCAAAAGTCCAAGTGGCCTTGCCCCTAAAATGACGAAATTCCAGGCCTGGCCGTAACTATCGTTAGCAAACTAATGGCCACACTCTGCACTGCTCTCATATGGCCTTTACTGCTGATAACTAACCTAAGTAACTGCAGCGTAGCAGAACAGTGACGTGCATCCTTTACTCACACCGCCCAGGTTCTCTTTATACATCCAAAAAAGTCAACACTTTTAGCTGTTGTAGTTGTTAGCCCTGCTACAGTAGCTGCCAGCTAGGCCTTTACCATAGTAATAGCAGTGTGGCGGCAATGAATATGAATATCTAATTTACAAAATTTAAAGCAACATGTTGCCCAGTTCATGTAGGCTTGATATAATCTATTAGTTGTTGTCTTAATGGTAGATAACACATAGCTTTGGGTGTATGTAACATACATTTTTTAAATGTAGCCTAAATTGGCCACTATTTTGTAACTTTTGCTGGAGCGCACCCAGTGATACTGTTGATATCTCTGTGTGTATATATTTCCTTATTTCAGACAACTATACCTGCTCTTTTATTATTGTTCTTACTTTATATCTTTATTGTTTATTGCACTAATTCTAAGTTGCTTTGGATAAAAGCTTCAGCTAAATGTAATGTTATAAGGTAAGGTAATGTGATATATCATCTTACAGCAGTTGCCTTGAATGTCCTGTGCTTGCTTACTGTAACATTGACTGTGACACCAGATATGGATTACTGGATAGTATACTGCATTAGATTGTTTTTCATAGCCGTTGCTGTTTTGCTTGTTTTATATTGTACCGAAGTCTGTTTGAACTTGCTTTCATACTAGACTCTCACTCTGTTAATATAACAGTTGGATGGGCCAGGTGTTGGTGCCAAGTGTTAGGGTTTGCTATGTTTTGCAGGTTTGTATTTGGTAATGCTACCTATGCCCTCTTGCCTTTTTTTACTTTTGTTAGATAAAAAGTGGGTTGTACTGATGACTGGCTTGCTTTTATCAGGATGTAAACACAATTTTCCATAGCCTGATTTAATATCACTAGTTTTCAATTGATTGCCCGTTAATAGTCAAAATTGAAGTTTCTTACCTATTTTGTGGGGAACTCAATTCATCACTTTTTTTTAGCCATACTGTAGGTAACTTTGTCCAACCTTTAGGCTCACTAGAAATACAACTTTATTTCGGTCACATATCATTTTTCAACCAAAAATGAAAAGTATTGACGCATAATTAATAATGCCATCAATAACTTTTGACAACTTTCAAATATCTGGCCAGGCAGGATCACACATAAAGTAAAATTATTCACAAAACATGGACTCTTTACTAAAAAAAAAGAAAATCACAAAATTGGCCTTTTGCCCGGCACACATTTGTCTTTTCATGGCAGGATAAACAAATGTTTTGATAAAATTAAGAATAGAATTCAGCCACCAGTAATCAACAATGAGTTTTTAGCTGTGCCCTTCCTACTGTGTCACAAAGCAATTACGTTTTTGCCAAACACCCTCTTTCAAACAAGCACACTGAGGCACGACAGGAGTTAACAATCAACTTCACACCTGCAAAACCAAAGAAGCAAGTCAATATGTATTTGTGAAAATGACTCAGTCCAGCTTCATGTTGAGTGCTGGAATTGAACAACTGTGCAGGCAGCCAATCGCACACGTTACCAGCATAGTGCACAAAGCTACAATAAAAGAGCATTTCACACAGAGCAATATTTTCAAGTAGAATAGCAATACATCAATGTAATAATAATCTTACCTAACCCGTAACAACTGTTTTTTGTTTGCCTATTTAATGCAGGAACAAGGTGATTATATATCCAACAGCTCAGGAGCAAGATTGCTGCTGATTTGGATTTTGGCCATGGCATCGTGATGAATGCAAGTCATGTGTGCAAATATTCACCCTTTGTTTGCCAGTTTGTTTGATTGTCAAAGATACCTCAGAATATATGTTTTTTTTTCTACTGACTAGATATAGCTTTACCAGCTAGTTGCCAACTAGTTTGGTCTGTTCCTTGGTGCTGGCCAGTTAGCGAAAGTAGAAACAATGGGCCAAGCTCTGTCCTGTAAAACATGTGCGTTCATGTCCCATGTTAATATACAAAAATGTTGCTCTACATTGCAGAATTAAGTCGAAAGTCATTTGTGTTGGATAGAAAAAGTGTATATAATATAGCCATGCTTTTTTTATAGGCTGATCATTTTTTTTGTATGTCAACCTATTGTATAACAAAAAATGTAAGTAAGTAAACATACTTCAAAATGTATAAAATCTGAAAAATAAGCAATGTGCCCATTTACTTCCATAGACTTGCGCAAATCCACACAGTGATAAACGATGAATGCCAAATAACACAGTCGCATTAATAATGACTACCGGTATCTTTTTGTAAAACATAATAATCACATGTAGACAGTAATAGTGTGCATAATGAGTGAATCATTATTAATATGTTTATTTAATTATTTTGTTGTTACCGCAGAGCTTCTTCTAAAGTGCACGCGCTGGCTTTATTATAGCGTAATACAAAAATAACTCTTTATATTATTGCTGAACATTAAAGTTTATTGTGTAAACATTTTTAATAAATAAACTAGCAGAATTGTTGTCAACCCTGTCAGTCACAGTGATGGATTATGATTAATTACACTGCAACCCCTGCTGGGATGCCACTCTGACAGACTGAGACGTGGTTCTCCAGACTCCGATAGCTGGCTGAGCCAAGCCGTAGACGCAAGAAGAAAACAAATCACACCCTCCCTGTTGTTGCTCCACCAACGCCCAAGTAAAATAGGCTGCTACGGCTGGTTACAGAAATGCAGAATCCCATCCGCATGTTTGAAGAAGCTGCAAAAGTCCCCCTTTAATACTTGACAAAATCTGTGCAGTGTATGGCCCAGTCATTTTTCATACATTACGGTGATGATGTGACAGGCCATGGCCCGGGCCAATACGTCATCATAAAATCCATTCAGTGAGAGGCTGATGGCAAAGCAGCACACAGGGGGAACTTCTCCATCTGCTAATAAAGTGCACATCCTGTGGTCTTGGAATTTGGTGTGTGTGTGTGTGACACATTGGTTTTCTCGTCTAACACATACAACTAAGAAGAAGGATTTTCTGCTGCTTATCTTGTTATTTTATTTTTTCATGATGCCATTTCCTAGTCCCCTTGCAGTCATCACAAGAGACGCCATCAGTGACAGAACAGGACAGTATCTGCCATGCTGTGTGGTGATTCTGTCAACAGTCTTGTCCTGGTTTGCTGTGTTGCTCTTGTTTCACAAACTTTCCCTTTCTACAGTGAGAAATGACGAGACAGGACAGCAGGGTTAGAACAATATAGGGTCTTATAACCGGGATTTTGGATTCACAATAATCTATAGGAAATAATTAATAATATATAGGAAAAAGTAAGAAGAATGGACATGCTGCGCACTGTATTTTCTAGGTAAAGAGACTATTGCATTCAACTATTATCGACAAAACAATTGTACTACACACAATCATGAAAAAATAATGTTTGTATAGAAAACAACCCTGAATGGACCTCAAGGAACATTTTACAAAACAATATATGTAAAGAATCAGTGCAGCAAATATATGTTGGTTTTTCTCAGTTATAAAAGAAAGAAAATCTGACTGGCTATGAAACGGTCCGAATAAGTGTTTTCAGTTGTTTTATGGGCCTTGTCCAGGCACACACAATAGGGTGTAAAATTTAAATCTAATTTCAAGATGTATGCCAAGATGATTTGAGATTGTAACAGCTGTACGGCTGTAGAGCCATTTAGCCTCCTTCCAAAAAAAACTGCTCATTATCTTTTAAAAGTCTGCATCTGCATCTTCCATGATATTTACAGGCAGCTGGAAAAAGAATACAGCAAAGTGTGTGTGTGTGTGTGTGTGTGTGTGTGTGTGTGTGTGTGTGTGTGTGTGTGTGTGTGTGTGTGTGTGTGTGTGTGTGTGTGTGTGTGTGTGTGTCCTCCAGTGACAAGGGAGTCTTAAATGGTGCTCTTTCAGAAGATAGAATGCATCTGTAAGGCTTTAGCCAACACACACACACACACACACACACACACACACACACACACACACACACACACACACACACACACACACACACACACACATGGTGTGTTCACACCCGATGTGATATTAGACAGTATATCAAAATGTAACTTCTGCCTTAAAAGCTATAAGGCAGTGCACATGTTCCTCTGCCATCCCGCTGAAGGAACAGACCGCTCACATTTTCCCAGAATGCCAGTGTGTGTTAAATGTTAAGTGTAGTCTCTATGCAACCCTCCAGGGCGTGTTCCACCTATGAAAGAGGGCATAAAGACGGGGAGAAAAGTAACATGTAGCACTGTGGGGGAGGCTGGTACTGCTTTGTGTCTCCCTGTGGGCTGAGACGGGACATCTAAATGTGTATAAATAAGCAGCACCATCTCAGATTGGGATTTATAGCCTGGGAGCTCAAAGTTTTTTGCGGAAGGAATTGGGGCACTGTGTGTATTCGTGTGTGTGGAGGAGAGAGAGAGAGCATATGGAAACATTGTAACTCAAGGGGGGCAAGCAGCAGCGTTTTCTTCCATGGATTGAAGGGAGGAAATCCTCTTCTTGTTCTTGCGTCGTCTGCATGCAAATGTGGCTGGCTGGGGCAGAATGAGGCTGGGTTAAAACACTCGCATCAGCATCCGACACTTGACTTTGCGAGGAGGGAGAGCTCTTTCTGGCAAATCAGAGGAGCAAGGCACTGTCCATCTTTGCAGATCATTCTCAAAGGCTCATACAGGTGACAAGTGTGACCAACTTCACTGCATTGACGCGCGCATATTGTCCATAGGCAGTATGTAAACGCGCCAATCTTTTGACATTTCACCTGCAGTGTTGTGGTCGCATGTGACGCACCTGCGCCTTCAGCTTTTCTTAGCCGTATTTTTGGATAAAGGAGTGTTGCGTTTTTCGGACAAGTTTCTGCGCTGATTGCTATGTTCGTCATGTCCGCCTGGGTGAACTTGCGCGTTTTCTCCGTAGAGTCACACAGAGCCGCGCTGTGTGCAGAAGTTGGTTGGGAATCATCATAACAACAGTGCGGGGAGCAGAGGAGGGAAAAGGAAGGGACAGCGGTGTAGAGGGGATGATAAGAGGCTGAATTTCTTTTTTAAGGTTCACTACCAGCTTCATCAGCATGAGGATCAAAACTGCGGAGGACTGCTGCTCTCCATCTACATAGTTACAGTTTTTGCAGAAGCCTGCCAGTGAGTCCTGCAACCACAGCTGCGTAAACTTGGCCAGAACTGGTGACATTGTACCCTCTGCGTGTGTGTGTGTGTGTGTGTGTGTGTGTGTGTGTGTGTGTGTGTGTGTGTGTGTGTGTGTGTGTGTGTGTGTGTGTGTGTGTGTGAGTGTGTGCCTGGATGGATATGCAGCTCACCGAGGGAATTTGAAAAGCACGGGGGGATTACTATCAGTCGCACTCCCTATTATAACCTCAAAATGGATGCCGATTACAGGCTGTGGAGACGCCACTGGATTAGCCACTCTCCCGCTGATCTGCTTGACATCTGAGCGCCACGAGCTTTCAAAGTTTGGATAATCTACGAAAAGGGGAAAGGGGCTGAAGGTGTAGGATGCAGTCTGGGGCGAAGACACTCTCCGCAGGTGGAGGTGCGTCACTGTGCTGCCTGCTGCTCCTGTGGCTCATCTACTCCCATCTGCTCAGAGAGGGTAAGGACACTTCTGGCTGTGTGTCACTTTTGTCAGCATTGTCTCAGTGCTTCTTATTGGGATGCACATGGTGTGATCCCGTAATAAATCAATCCCTATAATGTCCCATAAAACCCCCCTGCTGACTTGTAATGTGCCTCTGCTCATCTCCAGTCAATTCATGGTGACCTTGTTGTAAGGTATTATTTTCTGTTCCTATAATAATAGTCCTATACTAAGTGTATGATACTTGACAGCCAGTGTTTAGTGACATTACTGAACTTAATACAGTCTTTATTTGATATGGTAGCACCATAGGAGCGTGTAATGTATTGCAAAAATCATATTCTCACAACAATATAACCTTGTTGATAAACTAACCTCATGGTTTTCCTTATTCTTATGTAGTCTCTCTGCACCCTTGTGAAATGACAATTTAGTGAAGCCATAATTAAACTCCGGGTGAAAAAGAGACACAGTCTGCTTGTTTTAATTCCCAGTGAAGGCCTGACTTCTGCCTTCTAAAGCTTTTATAATTTCACTCAGGTTAAGGCTATATCCAGGACCATCCCTGACATGCTTTCCTCTTGAATAATACATCTGCTGGTGCAATTACACCTTCACCCTGACACAAAATAGAAAGCAAAAGGATGTCATCCACGCACTCTATTGGCTGCTGTCCATGACAAAACATTTTGGATCCCAACAACACAGAGTGGGCTTAAAGCATGGGAAGTTGTTGGGAGATGTCGAACACTAAATTTGCAGATTAGATCTTTTAATCAAGCATTGGCCAGCAGCATAATTACCGCTGTGGAGGAGGGATAGTGCCTACATAAATGTCTTTGGCAGCTTGCCGGGAACAAAAGTAGACACTGATGTGAAAAATGAACTGCCTGTACACTGAAATGTGCTCCCTTTGCCTCTAATTTGCAGCGTTTTCTCTCTAAATGCTGTTTTCACCAGCCTCTTCTTGCCGCCTCTGAAGCTTCTGTATATTATCTGAGGAGTTACAGCCATCCTCCTCTTCCCCTCAGCCATTTATCATTGACTCAATTTCATCTGAAAGTGATCTCATTACAGTGTTATTGTACACAATTGTTCCATCAATCTCTTGTGAACTTTACTCCCCTTGAAATTCTTCCAGTAAATAGATCCTGGTGGATTTGGCCTAGTTAAAACCTCTAGATGTGAATTGAGCTTTGGCAGTCTTTGTATGTTGATCACTCGTTTTTCCAGCTCTGAGCTGAATTTTAAGAAGGAATCCTCATTTGAAACTGGCAGCTGTGACTTGTCAGTGCTGTTGTTAGAGTATTTCTGACCACCACTGCTCTTTATCATTTCATCAGCTACCTTACAGTATTCTTTGACTGCTCACCACTGATGGAGTCAAAGTACTCACTTTGCGTGATCCTCTTCCTACCACTTGCGCCCCGATGGCCCCTGACGGCCCTTAAGCCTTGACGAGTGTGGTTAAAGTGGTGGGCAGAGAGGTGAAGCCTTGTGGTGGTGAGAGGCTGCAACGCCTCCACCCTCTCCGTAGCTCATCTGTCATGGCGGCTTAGACAGGAAATCAAAGCGCAGCAGCCCTGCCCGCTCATGCCATTGGGCCAGCGCCTACCACGATGAATGGCCTGTCAGCCGCTCTCGACGTTGCCAGTTTATTCAACGATACATTTGGAAATGTTTGGATTTCCTCGCTGGACAACATTCCGGTTCAGTGGTGCAGTCAGAGAGCGAGGGCAACTCCTCCTTGCTTTGTCAACCACATTGCTTTGGGTTACGGGTGTGTGTGTGAAGAAGAGGAGGAGATGGAGCATTTTTATCCTCATCTGTAAGCTGGGGGTGGACAGACAGTTGGCCTTTTGCGCCAACGAAACTCAAGCAACTCAAAGGCCAAGAATACATTTCAACTTCAAATTGGAACATACAAATTCCCACTTCTAACATATTGTTATCAAATGAGGCAATTTTGCATCTTAGAAGTGGCAATCCTTGAGATCTTTGAGCATAAGGTAAGCACTCATTGCTGTGGTGTTTCTGCACTTCACTTAAACTTCCAAGAGTTTGTATAGAAGGATCATTATTTTTTCCAGTTAAAGAAGTCACAATGTGTGAAACTGCTGTGGCATCATCTTACCTGCAACACTTTGCAACATAGTGTTCACCTTAGTTTAAGGGCAATTTAAAAATAGTATGTTTGTAAAGGATGACCTGTTGCAAAAGGGCAGTTCTGAGAATACTCTTTGACCGATAAGTGGCTTATCTTAAAGGTATTTTAACTTAACTGTCCTCTATCGGCTGAGCTTGCTTGGAACCACAACCATACTTGCCAACCCTCCCGATTTTCGCGGGAGACTCCCGATTTCATTGTCCTCTCCCAGTTTCCTCCCGGGGTCATATTTCCCCCAAAATCAGATTTACTCAGGACTGTTTCCACTCGGACTTTAATACAGCTACACCATTGTTTGGTTTCCATGGTAGCAAGGCAGTGCACTTACAACTACAATAAGCATGTTAATGTTAATCTAATACAGCTCCGGCGATCCACTAGCACCACCCCCCCCCCCCCATGGTACCATGAAGTGGAAATGTAGCATTAGATATATTATGTGGGAATAAATACAAATCCAAAAGGATACTAATGTGCTAGTGTCTGCTGGTTGTGTAAGGCATTTGTTTGATAACATTTGTTACAAGTTTGTAATTGCAAAGGTGATTGTCTTTTTTCAGGCTGTTCTGCTGCCCCCAAGTGGCCAATAAAAGATTTAAATAGTGAATCTTTAGGTACCTTTCTGGTGGTTGGTCCCGTTTTGTTTGTAGTCTCAACTATCACTTCTTGTGCCAACTATAGCGTTTTCTCTGCTTTTTACAATAACCTAGAAATTATGAACATTACTTAATTTTCATCAAAACAGATTTTATTAAACATTGCAAATTTGATAAAAATAACATAGTACGTTTGATGAACCAAAGAACTGAATGCTAAACTGTATGTGTGCAGAGAACAGTGCTGAGTTTACAGCCAATGTCACATGTCAGTATTAACGTTTCACTTTGATTTGTTTGAATAATTCAATCAGTGCTCCTGAACCCAAATAACAATAGTGTCCTGAAGCAACGATCTATCCAGGCTTGCTGCTCTGCAGTACAAACTGTTGATGGGAATGACGGCCCACATTTTATGAGATGCTTCTACAGGCTGTGTCACTACATTTTAAAGCGAGTCACTGTGGCTCTATCAGTACAGAGTTCCATTGATGACTGACTCTCACAGTCAGTCCACTCTTTGAGATGTGGACTCTCTGATGTCTTATGTCCAAATGACATTCACAAACTAGGCAAATTATTCCAGATGCTAACACGTTCTTTATTTATTTTTTAAACACCTCTTGTGTGGCAGCAGTGTGTGTTCATGGGGCACCAGAATGATGAATTTAGAAAGTCTTGGCTTTCTCCTTTAACTCAGGGAGCATGGCCTATCCATCCAAGCATTAAACTAATCAAAGTATCAGAGAGTTACTGACTTTTTGAAGTGAAAAGGATGATTTCCATTCCGGTTTTCTTCAAGGCGGCATTGAGCATGCAAAAGGAGACCGGCTTTGATTATAACCTTGGCTGTACATTCTAAGCAAATCATCAAGGCCTGCTTCTATAGGCGGCGGAGCTGTAAAAGTATGAGCATCTTTATGGAACAAAAAAAAAAATGAAAATAATTTTTACAGCTAAATCAATTTGACAGCACACAAAGCTCATATTTCATAGCCCCCTGAATATGAATTATTTCTAGCCTTCTGCTTTGACCTCCCTTGTGGTTGAGTGTAGTGCTCCGCTCTGTATATTTCTGCATTGTTATTTTCTCTGCGCAAAGCTCTGGGCTTGAAACTGCTCCATCATTGGCAGAGTGGTGTAGATGATTTGAGTTATGTCCCTTCAGTCTTTTGTCCCGTTCTATTTTCTGACTCATGCCATGAACGTATTTTATGAGAGGTCTGTTCTTGAATATTAAATCCGCAATCACACATTACCGCACAGTGCTTGTGAGGTCATAATAGCCTTCTGATGCTCACTATTTTCTCTGGGTTTGCATTAAAGAAGACTCTAGGACCTAGAGGGATATGAAATGTGACGTGACCCACTGTGGCTTTACCATCCTTTCTGCATTACATTCAGCAGAGCTCTGTTTACAGTTACTGCTTTTGTGAGGCATATTGTACACTCACTCTTTATGCCTCGAGCCTGTTTTCATCCACGGCCAATTGTCTGAGTGTACTCTACATTGTAATATCTCTGCAGCCCAGACTCTGCTGCATCACTGCAACAGAAATGTATCAGAAGCCACCTCCATCATATCTACTGTGCAAGACCGGAACCACAGTGTCAGTCTTAGCACTGGGCGTGTGCAAGGAGAATATTTTCTATTTTAAAAAAGCAGCCCTCTGCAATGTCAAACAATACAGCAATGAATGTTAGAGAGTGTTAACTGTTTTGAAAAAGACAGCAAACACCTGGAAGTCCTTCCTTTCTACTACTTTCCAGTGAGAAAGGAAGTAATCTAACACTCAGGGCCGGCCCTGACCAATTTGCTGCCCTAGGCAAGATTTTAGCTGTTCGGCACCCCCGATGGGTTGATGCGCCCTTAGCATTCGCCTATACTGCCTATACCAAGTGCCGGCCCAACACTGTTGAGTCCGGCTTTATCCCGAGGGAGCTCCATCCTGCTGCTACTAGAACTTTCAATTTGTCATTCCCCGTGGGTGGAGTAGTGTACACACCTGACACGAGAATTACATTTGGGCAAATGGAGCACATCTCCTGTTTCTTTGTTGGTGGGAGTGCTTTTCTCTCTTTTTCCTGCGGCCTCACTGGATGCTTGTGAATGCGTGAAAAATCATGCTCGGTGCAGCTTAAAAAAAAAAAAATCCCACATTTGAATACAATGCAGGTACACATTTGTGGATATGTCGAATTTTTTTGAGTAGAAAATTCCAACATGTATTGTCACCAGGGTGTGAGAGCTT